CCCCTTTAAATGAAGCTTTTCGAGAATTGATATTGCCTCCACGGCAATGCATGCAGCCATATTTGGTGACATCCTGTCATAGTACAACATATTACCAAAATTGAATGAGTATAGTAGATATATGTAAACATGCCCGAAAAGGTATGACCGGAAATTTTTTGATTTCTTACGATTGTCCTAGAGTATTCCAAACATCCCAGAGACTAGGACCAAGCATATCCATCACCTGAAATATTCAATAATGTTAAGATTAAAATACATAAAATGATTGGGGAGATAACACACTAAGAAGCTAGAAATCAAAACTCACAAGAATGTAGTAGTCTCCCTGGCGACCCTTGTAGTGCACGGAAGGAATCCCATAGCACCCATTTAGCGAACTTTTATTCAAGTGGAGATTAAAAAGGGAAATGTGAGAATTTAAATGACTGGAGTAAAATATGTAGAAACAAAAGCTGGCTAAAAATTCTATGATTAAAAATGCCATACCTGTAAACTTGCCATTCATAAGGTGGACCATAATTGCAACCTTTACTGTTCCGATGCTCAAGCTTCAACGCTACCTGTGACAAAAAATCACAAGACATTAGTCCCCAAGTGGTTTGACCTGGAAAAATCTTTAACGTGGGCACGAGTTTCTCGTAAATACCTCAATTGCATCAGGTCCAATTCTATCACTACCACCGCCTGTCCTCTGGCCAACATAGACTTGGCCAAAACCAACCTTACCCAGTTTCCTTTCTACCCTATATACAGGAATACCCACTGTACCTGCAATGAGTAACACAAATGGTGTTCAGTCAAGAGCTTCCCTGAGATGAACAACTAATAACTAGGAATGTTTTACGGTAAAAGATACGAAGCTAAAACATGTGGAATTTGATGCTAAAACATTCATCATTTTCAAGCAAAATCAAAACAGAAATAATAATTCGAATAGTTTCCGAATGCTGAAATAAAGAAGCACTATTTTCTTTTTAATTGTATTAGTCATAAAGTAATAGCTTTAGTTTAAGAGCACTAGGAAAAAGTTTTGTACTTCAGCTGGTTTTTTTCTCAAAAGTGAGGCTTACCCAAATAAGCAACTTAGATGGATCATTTAAGTACCAATAATATATTTAACAATAAAAGATACGAAGCTAAAACATGTGGAATTTGATGCTAAAACATTCATCATTTTCAAGCAAAATCAAAACAGAAATAATAATTCGAATAGTTTCCAAAATGCTGAAATAAAGAAAGCACTATTTTCTTTTTAAATTGTATTAGTCATAAAGTAATTAGCTTTTAGTTTAAGAGCATACTAGGAAAAAGTTTTGTATTCAGCTGGTTTTTTTCTCAAAAGTGAGGCTTACCCAAATAAGCAACTTATATGGATCATTTAAGTACCAAATAAATATATTTAACAATAACAGAAAGATATAGTATGTAATACGGAGCTACCGTTTCAGGAACAGGGGTTGTGCTAGCTTCTTCTTCAACTCCCACTATTTTGTCAGCACTCCGACCCTCCATCGCAATATCTTTGTTGGCCACTATCTCTACTCGGTTGAAAGCTGACAAGGGTCGGGATCTAAATCTATCAACCTAATTCCCCGGCCTCTACCAGCAGCTGTTGGCCTTGTGGGTACTGCAGCTGAGGGCCCTTTGGTGCACCAGCAGCATTACCCCTTCCTCTTCCACCAGCCCTCCTCCGGTTCTGTTTTGAGCAGGCAGTGCCCAATTCTCCGCTTGATCAACCGGTTGAGGAGGCAGCTGAAGATCATCAAGGCGTTTTGATCTCCGAGCTCCACTTCGCAATTCTGGCATCCTCGTCACGTGCAATTCACATGCCACTCAATTCCCCTCCAAAATCCTTCTGACGAAAAGAAGTAACGGACTTTACCGATATTGAAATTAATAAACACGTCTCATAAGAAAAACACTACACATTTGGAAAGCTCATATAATCCATAACTAAATATTTAACCTTTTTAAGGTACCCTTCCACAAATAACCAAGATCAACATAAATTCAATATATCATGACTCAAATTATAAACAATAAAAACCCTATCAGAGAGTAAATTATCAAGTTGAGGAAACAAAAAATTGCTACTATAATCATCCACTAAGAAGCTATCTCAAACAAGATAAACCAAAGACAATACCTTTAGCAAACAGTCAAATACCCTTCAACAAGAAATATATTTTTTCCAAACACCAAATATCAATCAAGCAAAAGCAGCTAAAAACATACCAAAATCAACGCAAGTTTATCACATATTTGATCCAAAAAAATCACACCTGATAGATAATCGAAATCAGCTATTTCAGTATGAAACGAAATGAACATCGATAATTTACGATGACGAAAAACTTTGAGCTGAATAAATCAATCAAAAGGTAACAATCAAGCTCAAACAACAATATTCATATTTCATACATCACCCCCAAAAATTGATTTAAAATAGAAAAAAAATAAAACTTTCACATAAAAAGTAACCGTTTTATAACCAGCCTAAATCAGATTCTTACTAACCAAACAATTCTCCAATCCGATCATGCAACTTTTCATCAAAAATACATAATCAAAACTAAAACCGATCAGCAAACAAGCTAAAACAAGAACTCACAGATCAATTATCCTCGAAAAAAACTTGATTGATCAAGCTCAGATCGTTAACAATATGTTCAGATGATACATTTGTTGGGCTTTATTTTGAAAACCCAGAAACAAAAACCAAGAATTTAAAAGAAAAAAAAATAAAGAAAGAAAATACACACCTTGTTTTTGTATTATCGGGGGATGAAGATAGACATGTAATCCAAAATTTAGGTAACAAAAAGAAAAGAAACTCTTTTTCTCGAGACGGATTGAATTGAAATTTAAGAGAAGATGGAGAAACAGAAAGCTTATTAGGTGTAGTTTTAGGAGGATCTTTTATGCATCAAACAAAAAGGGAAAATAAAGCCTGAAATAATCTAAAAATTAAAAAGAACATATATCTATTTTCGTTTTTTTAAAAGTAAATTTCTGTTTTTTAAAATAAATAAAATAATAATAATACATTTATTATATATTTCCTAATTATTTTGTAGGGTATAACTATCTTTTTTTATTATAACATTTAACCATTTTAAGGGCTGAATTTTTTTCAGTTGTAAATATGAAATAATGTTAAGAAGAAATTTCTTTGTAGCATATTTTTATTTTATGTGAATATGAAAAATTGATGGGACATGCAAATGTGGGAACAAAGTAGCCAAAAAGGGTTTTGCGTTTGTGGACTTACAAAGGGTCAAAGGCTTTACATTATTATTATTATTTATAACCTTTTTCTTTATTTGTTTGTCAATTCTTGTTATTATGATATTATCCATTTTATATGCATCATACACGGACCATGAGATTTTGAATTATTTGTTTATCTTCGTGAATTGGACCGTGTTTTATTTTATGATAAAATCAAATTAATATTATTTATTGTTGATCTTATTAATCAGTCTAGTAATTAAAAAAATGTATTGTTCTTCATTGATATCATAAATTCGAATAATTTTTTTTAAATATATGAATGTGTTGTTATTGATTAAAAAATTATGAACAAATATTACATTATGATCACTCTAAATATTTATTGTTCAAGTAATAATAAAATATTAAAATTGATTTTAAATTAGTATTATTTCTTATAATTAAAAATATGTCATTTGAATTTGATTAAAACTATTTCAATTCAAAAAAAAAATTTATGTCCAATTAGTGCACTGGTCTAAAGGCACCAATAGCATTAACTATTATTGGAATATGATTATGTGGATGAAAAAAAATACAATTTGGGAAAATATATTTATAAGATATATTGAAAAAAAAAGGTTTGGAATACAAAATGTCCAAAATATTTGTAGAAATAATCTTTCTCTTTTTACTTGAAAATTGAATAATTGAATAAATTATTATTTTCATAATTAACAAATTGGAGGAAAAAAGTTTGAAGAAAAGTAGTCAAAATTGACTATTCGAAGATTTTAGATCCGGTCTAAATGAATATAAAAATATACATTACATGTATTTCTTTAAGATAAACATTGTGTTTTATTTACAATATCTGCTTTTTTAGATAAATATGGTGTACTATCAACCTAGAAAAAGAAGATTTGTTAACTTGATAAGAATAAATTAATTTCATCGATTATTGTAATTCGTTTAATCTAGTTTAAGAGTTTTGGTCGATAAATGATTTTTTATCTCTGTGTGGGAGAGAAAAATTTGTATGGAAAAAACAAAGATAAAAGGTGTAGATTCAGTTTGAAAGAAAGAAGTCGAGTTTTTCTTATGTTTTCCCTGTGAATTAAATATTCTTGTTATAAAGTGATTAGTATCAAGTCTATAATGGCAATAATTGTCAAGTTTATTTGATGAACTATATAAAGTATTGAGAGATCCGATTATAAAATTATCGTCATTTAAGAAATATGAGACTCTCAATAGATAATAGAAGAGAAAATTATTTTTGAAATAGTTCTTCAAAAGGTATTATGAAAAAATAATAATAATAAATCAAATTAAATTTAAGTCGGAAGAAACTCAAATTTAAGCTCATAATGCTAAAAGTCAGAATTAAATTCAATTTATGATAAAAATCAAATTCCACTAATTAAAAACGAAAAATATATTTTGTTATTATATTTAGCTTAGAACTCATTATTCGAGTTTAAATATTAAACCTGATTTTGGCGAAACTCGACGTGGCACGTCCACATACACACGATCTAACAAATTTCTACATTCATCCAATTTGATCTTCATTTTTTAGCTTTACCTTCTTTTTTTTTTTTTTTATTGAATTTTATTACAAGTTTAGAGAGTAACACAAAACAAAGAAAAATCTTTAGATTTTTATGTATGTATTTATATTTTTCTTTTACAAATATTTTACCATAATTTTTCTTAATTAATTTGAATGGTAGCAGAATAAATGATTAATTTGAATTATAACTTATATATATACTCCATTAATGCAGAAAGTGCCAAGTGGTAATTGGTAAACATAACTGTATTGTGTAATTTCATGCAAAAAATCAAAATTTGTCGAATTATAAAATAATTTACAAAAACATATTTAAAGATTTTAATGTAGAAAATTTTTTTGCACACAAAAAAAAATACGAAAGAAAGTTGACTTTTTACACAAATATCCCCTAACATAAATTAATTACCTGTTAAGTATTGATGTGCTTTAATTTGATATCTTTGGAGTAATATCGTTTTATGTATCGATTGATGTGCTTAATATGATAAAAAAAATATAGTTTCTTGGATATCTTTGGATTAGTTTTGTTATGGATGATAAATAAATTGAATCAAATATGATTACACTAGCTTAACCAACTGGCCTGCCAGTGTAATTAAGCTCCTCTAGTTTAACTATCATATATTACGCTTGAGTCGTGTTCTTAGTGGAACCAGTTATCCGTATAACTAAAGTTGAAAACTGTTGCATTCAGTAAAATCTCTTTATTAACAATTCAAATAAAGTGATTGACTGAATTCTGCATTCGATCTTGTATCTTTTCTATGCTTATAAGGTTTTTAACGATTCAACCACTAACAAAGTCTGCATCTGTATTGAACTGACGAAAAAGACCAAAAAATGGGAAGTCCTTTATCAAGTCTCTTCTATTGGACTGTGCTCTAAATCCTATATGGTTTTGGGTTTGACCACGTTTATATATGGAAATCTTAGAACTAGTTTTACTGTGTTTCCAGGAACATTGTATCAACTGTGAACTTAGATTGCAAGTTGGATCTTAAGCAAATTGCTTTGCAAGCACGAAATGCTGAGTATAATCCCAAGGTATGCATGGGATGGTTAAATTCTAGTTTTGTTTTTGTTAGTTAGTGCAGCTTCTCTTTCCACTGCTAATATTTGGTTGTTAACCCTTTTGTTTGTAAAATAACCCTACAACGTTTTGCTGCTGTCATTATACACTCATTTGGTGGTTATTTTCAGTATCAAAGTCCTTTAGTAAACAACTAGTGTTTACATCAGTTGCTTGAACATAGGCGTGTTTTCATTGTTCACTTATTGAATTACTAAAACAGTTTCCCTTGCTTCTTCAGGTCTGCACTGGTGCTAAAAGTGAACATCAATCTAAACTGGCAGCAAGGAAGGCAAATATTCTTCTTTGAGATTCTTATGCCTTTTATTGTGTTTGTGAACTATGTTAAATGTGAAGTTAGCTGCTTGATATAATATTTACACACACACATGCTTATCATTAGGATAGAAAGATGCAAAATGAAGTCCTATAGTGACATTATTTTTGTGCTTTCAGTACGCCAGAATCATCCAAAAGCTTGGGTTTCCTGCTAAGTTTAAGGTTCTTAGACAATTCATTTTCTCTTGTGCAAACGATGCTCCTCAAATTGCATGTATAGACTACAACTAATATCTCTTCCTTTGATGGTGTTTTGCCCTGCTCATTTTTAACCTTTTTTGCTGTGATCGGCAGGACTTCAAAATTCAGAACATTGCCGGGTCCTGCGATGTCAAATTTCCTATCAGACTTGAAGGTCTTGCATACTCCCACGATGCATTTTCAAGTGTAAGTGGCATTCGATATTTGTTTACCTGTTATATAAGAATATAGATATGCATGTTTCTTTTCCAGGTACGACTGCCTGGTTGTCTGTGCTCTTCTTTGTGTGTGTATTATGCCCATACAAAGTTTGCCTTTTCTTTGTGAGCTCATTGAGTTTCACATGCTGGCCCTTATGGGTGTTAAGCCAAAGGGATGGAGGTTAAATATTCTCGGTACAAAGATTTTAAAACATAGATTTGGTTTCTGGTCTGGATGAGTTCTAGATAGTTACTTTACTTGTGTTTGTTTGCTTATTCGGTTTCCGATTCCTTTTGTTTGGTACAAGGATTATGACTCATCTTTGGCGTTGTTTTAATGCAGTATGAACCAGAACTCTTTCCAGATCTGATCTACCGAATGAAACAACCAAAGATTGTGCTACTCATTTTTGTGTCAGGGAAGATTGTGATCACTGGAGCTAAGGTGATTGCATTTGGGCCTCCGTTCATCTATTCTGTATTCTATGTCCGGCTGAATTACTAATTCTCTTTGTTCTAGTGAATCAGGTGAGAGATGAGACATACACGGCCTTTGAGAATATATATCCAGTCCTCACAGAATTCAGAAAGAACTAACAATGGTACGAAGCTACACCTTGTTCCCTCTCTGAAATGATTGACCAGTATTATATATTTATTTCGAGCTTCACTTTGACTTATCTTTAAACTTGCTGGCAGATATACCTTCGAATGGAACTTTGATTTGATTAGGTTGTCGATAGTAGGTTTTCCTCAACCACTGTTCGGACTTGAAGTGTGAATATATGAAGAGTGGAGAGGTTGCTTAAATGCATCATTTAAGCTGTAGTTTGTTAGGACATTTCGATCCCAGTGGTTAAAATTGTCCCTTCATCTTTATGTATAATTGTCATGATATTGATATTGAAATTTTGGATGTGATATGAACAAAATTTATTAAAAGAAATCTGACTTGAGGTTGCATTTTTAGCTTGATGAAAATCTTTATTGTTAGTTCGGTGAGAGTGCTATTTTTATTCATATTTTAGTACACTACTATCCCATTCTTATATTAAATCAATAGATATAAATTAAATAACCCAAGAATCCTTTAAAATACATATTTTATTCATATTTTAATATTATAGAATCCGATTTTTATATTAAATCAATAGATATGAATTAGATAACCCAAGAATCCTTCAAAATACAAGACAAGAATCTGAGAGGAAAAAATAATACATCGGATGTAATCTAAATAATCAAAAGTTAAAGTAGTAAATATGAAGTCAATACTGTAAAAATAGATAATACTACCACTGAGGGACTTACTGAAGAAAAAGAAGATGATGAAGTAATCTGGATGATGAAATTGCAAGTCCCTTGTGATATATTCTGCGTTGTAATTATGCCCAAGCCTTGAAAATTACATGCCATGTCTTTCTGATTTTGCACCTGGTAATACATGTTAAACGCGTACGAAGCGTTCTCATTGGCATCGAGGCTGTTACACGAAGACCCGAACCCGAGAGCCGTACAATCGGCAAAAGTGCAAGCATATTTTATGTTGTCAACAAGCTTGCCCACGTCCTTAGCATTTGGATTGAACATACACCATTGCTGTGGAAGGTATTTCACATCCTTTGCACCAATGAGAAACTTGTTTTGATTCTGACCTGAAAGATCTAATGGGAATTTAGGCTGCCCGTCATACCGAAAGATCCCCCAATGACGCTCGAAATTTCCCGGAGCAATGCTCTTGGCATCCTCGTCGATGAGTCCAAACAAGTAAACTTCGATATATCCTGGACGTAGAGGCGTGCCGGTGTTTGCTGCAAGTCTAGGCAAGAGTCCATTGTAAAATCTCTGAGCATTAGCCATATTGGCATTCTTGTCACCATCTGTAGGCCAACCAACTTCCCCAATAATAATGGGCATATCCCCATGGCCTAATGCCTTCAAAGCCGAGACCAATGTGTCAAAGTTGGCATCGAAAACGTTAGCATACTGAATCCCGTTATCGACAATCGGGTTTCCTCCATCAAAGAAAGCGTAATTAAAGGGGAAGTCATCATTCCCGTAAGACTGAGGAAAGGGTAGATGTTCACGGTGAAAGGCGCACTGTTGTTTGCTAGGAAATTGACGATTTGTGACATAGGTCCACTGATATCAGTCCGGAACCGGCCAGCAGACGGAAGAGGGTTGCTTTCGGGTGAGTTGTAGACATCAGCATTTAAGGGCACAGTAACCTTTATGGTGTCCCCAACACCAGCATCATCAAGTGCATTTTGAATGTTCTGAAGAGCAGGGAATGTGGTGTTTATAAACGAGCCATTATAGGATGTGAGAAATGGTTCATTTCCAACAGCAACATACCTGTGAAAACAAAGTGAAAGGCTCAACATACTAATATAAAATTTCGAAGATGAATATGAGAATATGATCTTCAAATATATATACACTCGAATCTAAATAACATTTTGTCCAACATAGATAGGAGAATATGACCTCTAGCTCTAGATACAATTAAAATTTCATACCAAATTGATCAAAATCCACACTATAAGATAACAAGAAGTTTTTTTTTCTCATCAACTTAATCTTAAAAACGGTGTCAACACAAATAAATCAAAGCCACAAAAACGAACATCAGAAAAGCTGGAAGAATGAACTTACTTAATGTTAACACCTCCTTTGAAGTTGTATGTGGTAATATTCTTCTTGACCCATTCTTTAGCACGATCATAGCTATTCATAGCAAGAAGCTGATCGTTGGGAATGGCGACCATTACTTCAAGATCACTCCCTGCAAGAGCATCCATGGTCTTTGAATCTGCATCGAAAAGCTTCACTTTTGTAATCCCATTGTCTTTCAACATCTGAACCACTGTTTCTGGAGGCAATTTATGGGTCGCCATTGTGCCCCAGTTCACACCAAGACCACTAACAGATCCACCAAAGAGGAGATGAACACAAAGGAATGTGGGTAATACTAATGTTGCTAGAAACCCAGAATGACCCATGGGTTTTAAATAGTAAAAAATTTCAAAGAGAAGGGGGTGGAGCGTATGGTAAGGCTAAAGGAGTTACCAAAACTAAGGAAAAGCAAGGTTTTATTATGAAGTTTTAACTGTTGTTTATTTATTGATTGATGCAATCTCTGTTAAAAAAGAAAACGAAATGCGGTTATCTGCAGGATCAACCGAAACTCAAGCCATTTTGTGATCATGGGAGAGAGAAACAACACACAAAAAATACTTGCAATTATTTTTTTTAAAATAGAAACGAAGAAAAACAGAGCAAAGAAGAAAACCTAGAAAGAAAAAGGGAGAATCGGTTATGTTTTGGTGAATCGAAGGGAGAAGACTGGACCTTTATCGAATATAGAAGATGAGTTTTTTAAGTAAATATTGAAAAACAAAGGACGGAGTTGAAGCGACAGTGTATAAACAAAGGAAAACGAGAGGAAGAACAGGGGAAACGGTACCAAACAAATTATGTACGCGTGTTTAAACCGACACGGATTTTTTTTTCCAAAAAAGGTACTTACATTACTTTGACAGAGAATCAATAAACGTTTGATTTCGCCACATCACGTCCTTTTCCAAAATTTGAAATTTAGGCTCTGCTCCAGTGTTCACCACTCCAAAAAAAAAAAAAGATTTAAAGTATTTTTTAGGTATTAATTAATTTTAATAGAAATATTATTTTTTAAAAATAAAATATTAAAAGTTATCTTAATTTTTAATTGAATAATTATTTCGACTCTTATATTTTTAATTACTTTAGTCTTAATATTTTATTTTGGATCGAAATAATCTTAATTGAATAAAAATATTTGATTGACTAACGGTTAACACTTGTCGTTATGTAGTAAAATTTTTATATTCAAAATAGAGACACGACATTATGATGTATACATAAATGATAATATGATACATACATATATCCCAAATATTGGCATGTTACTATCACGTATTTATAGTGATGATGTGATATTATCGTATATTATTGTTAAAATTACATTAACTTTAAATAAAATGATAAAATTAATATAAATTTTAAAATTGAATAACATTTGAAATAATTTATCTCATATTTATTTGGAAAAGACTCTATGTATAATGGTATAGTAAATTAATATGAAATAATAAGTATGTTAAGAAAACCTATATAATAGGAAAAGAAGAAAGGTAACGAACTACCTACAAATTCTAGGAAGGGTATGCTTTCAAGGGATTAAAATTTCTATGATACTAAATTCAATAATTTTAGATATGATATAAAATACAATGAGAATACAATACATTTAAGTATGGCAGTATTAAGGCGGACGCAAGATTTTATGTTAGGAGGGCAAATTTATAAATTTTTAAGGGGGTGAACTTATAAAATTTCAAGAGATGTAAAAATATATTTTCAATAAAAAAAATCTAAAGAAAATATCTAAATATATAAACTTTGAAATTTTCAAGGAACGACTATCCCCACCCGCTCCCTTCGGTTCATCCATGGTTAGTACAATATACATGCATTGTATTTTGGAAATTGGTTTGATTCCATTTTAGCAAATAAATGAAAAGGGAAGTTAAAATCGAGCCCAGAAGAAAAACATTCTTTGTTAATAGAATAAGCCTTGCGTAAACATACATGCATGAAATATAAGAGTGGAGAGTGAGATTGGATAAAGGGAAGGTTCATATGAAAAAGTGTTTTAGCTAAGTGATTTGTTATTTAAGAAAAGGACATTGCATTCAAAGCTGCATGCACATGCATTTCTTCGGTACTTGTAAGTAGTGGCCTCTGCCCAATGGTTCTCGATATCTGGCATCTTCAACTTCAAGGCCAGAGTCATCATCAAACTATTTTCGGGGGGTTCTACAAGGAGATTGGCTAGAGATTCGAGACTTAAAACTCGATCTAAGCTTGATCGGGTATCACTTTTAAAACTCAGAGCTCAATTCTAGATAAAAATCAAATTATTCAAAATCCCAAGTTTTCGTACAATTTTATCTCAACCATTGGTTTTGGGTGAAGTAAAATGAGTAGGGCGGACATGGATTCTTGTATGATCCTTGAAATATATAAAACTTAGAAAAGAATAGAATATAAATATCTATATTTGACACTCGTCTTCAAGTTCAAGTAATGTAAAAAGATTGCCACCACCAAAGATATGAACAGTTTGATGTTATAATCAGCCAGTAATATTAGGGTAATTACTCGAACATTCATAAGTTAGAAATGAATTGAACATATTGTCATACAAACATTCGTATCCCGAGTCCAAGAAAAATGTACAATCACCAACACCAAAAAAAGTAAAGTAATTTGATGTTATAATCACCCAAAGATATGGAAGAAAACATTAGTAAATTCTATTTCAGATCATAATTTGTTAAAGAGAAAAAAAAAGCTTCCATCTGTCTCATTGTGTAAACTGTGTCCATCGCATGTTTCTTTTTCATATTTACAGGTTAAACTTCC